AGGGGCAAAGAGAGAGAGAAGGTGAATGGAGGCGGGAAGGAAAGAAGAAGGACATCGGGAGAGCGGCCAGGACACGCTAAACGCCAGCCCCCCCTGAGCTCGGTGAGCAGGCCTTGCGCGGCAGCAAAAACGCCCCACGCCTGAGGGCACTCCGCGTGTCTCCAGACGGCCCGCGCGGTACCCCAGATTTCGTAATAAAAGGGAGGGGGTCTCAACCCTCCCAGACGAAAAGTTTTAGACCCCCCCCGTGGGCGAACCCTCCAAAACATCGTCCCCAGACCCCCCCAGGCCCTCCAAGATAGCCTGGAAGAGACCCCCCCGAAATGAGACCCCCCTCCCTTTATTACGAAATCTGGAGTACCCCGGGCCGCGCCCGCTCCAAGCTCCTCCCCCCTTCTTTTGCCGCTGGCCCAGGCAGCGCGTCGTCGCCACTGGGGCACCAAACGCCGGACGGCTCCGCCACGAGGGGACGGAACGCGATCCTGTGTCGAAGCGGCTCGTCTCGTTGAGCAGGGACCGACCGTCCCGGCATTCCTATAGTCCTACCACGACATCTTCTCAGAACCTAAACATGTTTTAAGAACAAACCAGTGGTCTCATAACATAAACCCGATGTGATACAAACACACACGCACACACACACATTACCCTGCGACGTACCCAACCCACGTGCATCAAATGGCAAGAGGAGTATGCCAACATTAGCAGGAACAACGACAGTGTAGACGCGGCGAATTGCTGTGCAAACTACATGGGATGCGCATGCGTTGCACGGTTCACAGGACGACGATCGAAAGAACGAGGCTTGAGGCCCCAGGATCGAAGAAGAACGGGCACGGGAACGAGGGGTAGGAGAGGGATGGAATGGAGGGCGGGGGGGGCGAAAGGCCATCGCGGAAGCAGCAGCATGCATGGAGAAAGTGAGGCGGGGAATAGGACGACGATGAAAGTGGCGGGAGGAGACAGAAGACTGCCGCGTTTTTCAAGTGCGAGCTAAACCCGCAGCGCTGCCTGCGCCATGTCGTCGCAGAGTTCCACATGATAAAACTTGTTTAGAGTGCAAGGAACGAGCGAGGCGTAGCTCGCCCGCTAGCTTCTCCGCCTCCTTCCCGCACATTTCAGCGCGGGAGCTGAACGCTCGCAGGCGCGCCGCCAGGTCTGCGGGCGGCCCGCGGGGAAGAAACTCAAGGCCGGGGTCGCGCATCATCAATCGGTTGTCCATCGTCCAAAGTTGCACTGGCGACGTACTGGTTGAACGCGGAGCGAGCAGCATCACGCGCGTGCCTGAACGCCACGCAGGTACAGTGCACGCGCGATTGGGACTTCAGGTCGATCACGCGCGTCTCCACCAGGCTTGGCAACACCACGCGACTGAGGATCTCACTGCGGTCTGCCATGCTGCTGTCCGCGAATGCAATGCGCTGCCTGCAAGTAAGGCGGCGGCGTCCACTTGTCTCAGAAGATGTTCCCGCGGGCCCGAAGGGCGACCGCCAGCTCGAGCCGCGGCGCCGGCAGGCCAGATAAGGATCATGCAACAGCAAAGACGATGACAGAGCAACGAGGTATCGGCGAGTGCATGACCGGCCTCCGTTTCCTGCACTTCTTTCCTGTAGTTCCCCTAGCTCATCGAGCTCAGCAGATGTTTCTGCGGGTCCGAAGGACGACCGCCAGCTCGAGTCGCAGCGCCACGTGGCACGAACCGCAGAGCAAGGGCACGCGAGCATTGCTCGTGGTCAGAATCTGAGTCCCCGTGGTGCCTCACTCCGCTGGCCACCCACCAGCAGCCCTCGAAAGTGGCGACAGTTTCACAGATCGCAGCCGCCCAGGGGTGGCGAGGTCTAATCTGAGTCCCGTGGTGCCTCACTCCGCTGGACCCACCAGCAGCCTCGAAAGTGGCGACAGTTTCACACAAGGATGGCGAGGTCTAATCTGAGTCCCCGTGGTGCCTCACTCCGCTGGACCCACCAGCAACCCTCGAAAGTGGCGACAGTTTCACAGATCGCAGCCCCCCAGAGATGGCGAGGTCTAATCTGAGTCCCCGTGGTGCCTCACTCCGCTGGACCCACCAGCAGCCCTCGAAAGTGGCGACAGTTTCACAGATCGCAGCCCCCCAGAGATGGCGAGGTCTAATCTGAGTCCCCGTGGTGCCTCACTCCGCTGGACCCACCAGCAGCCCTCGAAAGTGGTGACAGTTTCACAGATCGCAGCCCCCCCCAGAGATGGCGAGGTCTAATCTGAGTCCCCGTGGTGCCTCACTCCGCTGGACCCACCAGCAGCCCTCGAAAGTGGCGACAGTTTCACAGATCGCAGCCCCCCCCCAGGGATGGCGAGGTCTAATCTGAGTCCCCGTGGTGCCTCACTCCGCTGGACCCACCAGCAGCCCTCGAAATGCGACAGTTTCACAGATCGCAGCCCCCCCCCCAGGGATGGCGAGGTCTAATCTGAGTCCCCGTGGTGCCTCACTCCGCTGGACCCACCAGCAGCCCTCGAAAGTGGCGACAGTTTCACAGATCGCAGCCCCACCAGAGAAGAGAGGAGGAGGCGGGAGGAGGCGGGAAGGAAGGAAGGAAGGTGGAGACCGCAGTGCTCTATTCAAAACGAGTACCCAACGAAGGAGGGTTGGGAAAAAATACTCCGCCAGAAAGGTTCTAAGAATATTTCGTGGAAGCCACGAAAGGTTATTCGAACATGTTTTGGTAGGGCTATGGGCGAGCCAGGACCCTTCGCCACTGTTTGAATGAACGCGATACTGTGTCGAAGTGGCTCGTCTGGGCCATCTCGCACCCTTGCGCAACAGGCCCATTTTTCCCTGGAGCGCCAGGGCGCGGGGCGCCCGGCCGCCGGGGTGAGGAAGCGGCGCGGTCCATGGCAGCAGGCGCCCCCTGGAATCTGGGGGGAATGTAGACGTCAGCTGGCTGGCGCCCAGTCGGCCACACGCAAGAAGGACCCTGGGTAAGAGTGACCGTTGGTGCGCGGCTTTTGAAGGGCCGCTGGGGAACCAAGCGCAACCGCGCAAGACGCTGCTACTGCGTCACGTTCAGCGATCTGGGGACCAACTTATGCCCGCACCAAAGGTCACTCCAGCGAAAGGTCACTCTTACATCTAGTCGACCCATTCGCATGGGCGTCGTCTGGGCGGGGTGGCACGAAGCTGCTCGAGCGTCGGCTTGGAGCCCGCGCTGGTAGCTAAAACGCCGATGGCGTTCCCAGCCCCGTTGAACCAGTGGACCCGGCTGTCGCAGACGTCTTCGCAGCAGGAGCAGATATTCGAAGTCTCGTACAAAGGCGCGAGCAGCTGGCGCATCACCTCGCACGCGAACTCCTCGGGCTCGAAAAGGAGCCCCACCTGTTCGCTGGGCCGCGCTTCGAAGTTTGAGGCGCCGGGCAACATCTCGGACGTCAGCGCGGTCAGCGGCGCCCACGCCGGCCAGGAAGATCTGGGGCCCGCGCCCGTCAATCGCGGCCGAGAGGTGCTTCTGCGTGGCTTTATCGTGGGCCTCAACAGCCAGGCCGTGCACCGCAAGGCGTTGTAAACCCCGCGCGCGCGCCCCTCCAGCGTGGCCGCGCCCTCTGGCGCCCAAGTGCAGGCCGCGCCCAAGTCGCCGCAGAGGAGCCGCGTGACCGCGACGTTGGCCAAGTGAGCGCTGGATGCGTGCTCTGTCAGCTGCCGCAGGCCCAGCCCCGCGCGGGCGAGTCCTCGGGCGGCCTGGTTCCACCGTGTCCGTCAGGTCCGCTGCGAGCAGGTCCGACAGCTCGGGCCGCTGGACATCGTCGAAGCAGCGCAGCGA